CAGCCGCCTGCCACCAGAGAAAGCCCCTCCTGGTTCTGGGCTACAGCTCTTGGAGGTGGAGTGTGGTGGAGCTGGTCTCCTTTTGCCTTGGAAAATCCCTGCTTCAGCATGATTGAAGCCAGTAGCTGGCGATGATCTCCATGTGCTGTTGCCCTCCTGTCTGTGCTGGAAGGCAGAGGGCTCAGGGTGCAGGAGAGCTGTGGGGCTGTTCCTGCCAGCCAGGGTGTCCCTGTGCCTACTGAGACCACAGCATAGCTTCCCGTGCCCAGCACACAGAAAAATCCAGGTTTTTTTCAGATTTCTGTAGCCACTGTAGAAATAATCTCTATCCCCACCTCTGCACACAAGCACTGTGACTTCTGCTGTGCTTTCTGGGAGAGGTGCAAGCCAAAAGACGAAGAAAAAAGGAATCAGATCAGCAAAAACCTCTAATTTTTCCTGGCTCCAGCATGCAAAAGCACATAGAGTTTTTCCTGCTCTTTTCTGGAAAGTCTGTTCTGTACGTCAGGCAGGATCAGCACCACGCTGCCTTTTCTTCCTGGAGACAGGGAAGTGTTTGCCATGGCAACATGGCAGGCAGCATTTGGGCTGTGCAGGGGATCTCCTGGGCATTTATGGCTCTGTGAGCTGATGGAAGGCTCTGGAAGCAGTGGGGCTTCCTTGTGTCTCACCAGCCATCACTGTCCCTCTATCACTCGTCCTCTCTGCTTGCAGGGTGTGGGCAGTGCAGCCTGGCTTTGCATAGAATCCTGGAGTAGTTTGGGTTGGAAGGGACCTTAAAGACCATCTGGTACAACGCCCCTGCCATGGGCAGGGACACTTTCCCCTGTCTCAGGTTGCTCCAAGCCCGGTCCAACCTGGCCTTGGACACTTCCAGGGATGGGGCAGCCACAATCTGGATGGTGGGGTGAGAAATGGGAACAATGCTGGGAGCACTGCTGGGCTTTGCTGGGTGTCGTTGGGAGCTGTCTTTCCCTGGTGCCTCTGGAGCTTCACTGCCCCACAAAGATCTTAGCTTTGATCATGGCTTACAGACCTGGAGCTTCTTTCCTCCCGCCCCAGCCTGCACGGAGGCTCCTCTCTGCACTCTCCCCTCCATCTCCGGATGCTTTTCCCATTACTGTTCTGGCTGGGCTCCCTGCACCAAAAGGGCTGGGGAAGGCACAGGCCAGCGCTGCCCCCTCCCCTCCCCTCCCTGTTTGTGAGATGGGGGCAGAGCGGGCCCACAAATGACATAATGAGAGCATGACATCAGGCTTGGCAGCGGGGCCAGCCCTCCTCTGCCGAACATTATATGTTCCTTGGAATTAAGAAGCAAACAGCAGTGCACCAAAAAAAGCCTGCCCACCACAGTGCTGCAGAAATAACCCTGAGCTGGGCTCTGCAGGGCCTGTCTGAGCATCCTGGAGGGACAGAGCGAGGCACTGAGCCCTCTTGCTCACTTCCATCCTCGGTGGTCCTGTGCTCGGTGCTCTGTATCCCACAAGTTCCACGAGCCCATCAGCAGGAGGTCGGGCTGGTGGTGTCCTCACAGACCCATCCTCTCCAGGGAGGTGGGCTGTGGTTATCCACAGCTCTGGAGAGGTTCAGGGATGCACCCAGCATCACACAGGGACTTGGTAGCAGGGCTGGGATGGAGCTGAAGGCTCCCAAGGCTCAGGTTGATGCCCTCATTACTAAATGTTCCCGTAACCAAAGTTTCACCTTCCTTGCACAACCAACTCCTTTTCCAGAAGGATTTTAAACCCTCCCTTTGCTAGGCTAGTCAGTGAAACGTGGCTGTGTTTGCTGGGCTGTTTGGGGAGCTGCAAGGGGAGCTCTGTAACACAGCTCTTGTCCTGTACCATAGCTGGTGGTGGGTTTTGGTGCCCCATATCTCACAGAACATGAGGAGCCTTCCAACCTCCTCTGGCACTGCACGACTCCAGTTTACGGGTGTGGAAACTGAGGCAGGACCAAGAAATTGTGACTTGTAGCTGCCCTTTTCCAGGCAGCACAGCCTATTCTCAAAATCCCCCGGGGCACAGGAAACTACATTTTTCTTTCTCCTCCTGGGGAGGGCGTCAGGCTGCATGTGCAGAGCATGTCAATGGAGAGCCTTGTTTGCTGCTGGCTTCAGCTCTGCTTTGAACCTGCTCCCAATTTCCTCCAGCCTGGCAGTGGGCTGAGAAAATACAGTCGTGGCAGTTTGTGGCACCGCCAGGCTCAGCTCTGTCCCACAGCCTTTGCCTTGGCTTTTGTTGCTCGGTATTTCCTGGTGTATTTCTTTGCTGCAGCCCAGCTTGGTTCACAGCCGCCTTTCCCATGCCAGGAAGGCATGATATGATTTTCCACACAAGCAGGAGAGGGAGCAGTGGGAGAGGGCAGGCAGGCAGCTGGGAGCCCAGCTCCCTGACTGGTGGCTGGAGGCGGCAGGCGCTGGATCCACCACCATTCCTCAGCTCTCCCTGTCCTGTCAGCAGGGGCTCTGCTTCCCTTGCAGGCTCAGCACCAATGGGGTTGGGGAGGCCTCAAAAATTGGGTCCAACCATTCCCCCAGCACGCCAAGGCCACCACTAACCCATGTCCCCAGGTGCCAGATCTGCACAGCTTTTAAACCTCTCCAGGGTTGGGGACTCCACCCCTGCCCTGGGCAGCTGTGCCAGGGCTGGACAGTCCTTTCTGTGAAGGAATTTTCCCAACATCCAACCTCAACCTCCCCTGGGACAACCTGAGGCCGTTCCCTCTCCTCCTGTCCCTTGTTCCCTGGGAGCAGAGCCCAAATCCCCCTGGCTCTCCCCTCCTGTCAGGGAGTTGCAGAGCCAGAAGGTCCCCCCTGAGCCTCCTTTTCTCCAGGCTGAGCCCCCCCAGCTCCCTCAGCTGCTCCTGCTGCTCCAGCCCCTTCCCCAGCTCCACTGTCCTTGCATTTCAGATAACTTTATTCAGTGAAGCTGACTGACCCCTGGGAGTCAAGGATTTGGGTCTTGGCTTCCCCTTATCTAAGTTTAAGAGTTTCCTCTAAGATGGAATGGAAATAACAACAAAGGATGTTTGTAAAGGGCTGGGGACAGCACTGGACAAACCCCTCCCTCCTGGCATCATGGCAGAGGGATGGAGAAGAGCAGATCTGCCCTACTGGAATCCTTCCCTTCCCAGCTGGGAAGCAGCAGGATGGGAGAGATGCAGGGAGGGCTTGGAGCTGGGTGCCCCAAGGGTTTGGTGCCCATTGTGCCATCTCTGAGGGTGAGAGCTTCCCCTGCCCTGTGCTCCCCCCTCCCTGCAGCCAAGCAGCACTTGGGAGAGGCTCTTGGAAATGGCAGAGCCCTGTTTTTGTAGCAGCTGAATGGTTTGTTTTGGAGGTTTTGCTTGTCTGGGCGAGGAGCAGGAAGGCATCTGAGCTGGAACACCATTTCCTTCAGTCGTGGACTTGAGGTGCTGCCTAAAACTAAATGGGTGATTTCCAGGTCTTTCAGAGGAGCAGAGGAATGTTTGTGCTGCTCTCCCTGGCAGGTAACTGGTTGGTGGTCTGGTCCTTTCCAGGATGGGGCAAGTACTGCAGGAAGGTGCAGGGCCAGAGGGGTACGAGGTACAGGGAATGCTCAAGGAAAAGTGGAGCCAAAGCTCCCTGAGGAGGGGTCTGTCCGGGCTGGCAGCAGTTGGGATTCCAGTTTGAGCTGTCTTGGGTGCTTGTCTTCCAAATGGGAGCTGGAAATGGGTTTTGGGGTGACTTTGGTGTCCCCTGTGCAGAATGTGCCCCCCAGTGGGCTGTGTCACTTCAGCCAAGGGTGCTCTGTGCTCTTCCACTGCTGTCCCAGCTGCCCCGAGACAAAGATCACTGGTGTGATCAGATATTTTTGCTAACATCCTTTTTTCAGTGGATTTGTTGAGCTTTTAATTTGCACATTTCTTGGACTTCTGTATTGGTGTTGCTGGTGAGCTCTTCTGAATCCACTCTCAGCTTGGCAAAGAACTCCCAGACAGCAAAATCAGGGAAAATAAACCTTTTAGAGAGACATCCATCCCCATTACTTACCCCCAGAGTTTCCTGGAATCATACACAGTTTTCCTGCCAGTTTGGCGGAATTATTTTCATTTGGATAAATGAAGTTTGAATGTCAGATCAAACCAAAGATTAATTGATTAAGGGGTAAAAATAAGCAGTGAGACAGCCAAGGGAAGTGAGGAGAGGTGCTTGTAGGGTAAAAGGTGAGAAAGGAGGGAGCAGGACACGGTGTGTCCAGCCCTGTCTGCTCCCTGGAGCTCTGCTGGAGATCCAGGAAGGATAAGGACCATCACATGGGCTCAGAGTAAGTGTTTTGATGCTGCTAAAGGAAAGTTTAGGCCAAAGGAGATTTGTCTGAAACCAAAATGTGAATTTTATTGGGAACAAGTGGAGACTGATCAGCGAAACTTTTACCTCTCTGAGTGACATTTAAAATTGGGAAAGAGGACGGGGGGTGAGGAGAGAGCTGGGCTGGACAGGCTGGTTTGGTTTGGATGAGCTGGTGCTACTGGGAGCGAGTGGAGGTTTTTTTAAGTGTTCCTTTTAGAAGGACAATCTGCCCTGATAGCAAATGGAAAATATTCTTTGTTGCTTCTTCTTCCATTTTAAGCTTTTCTAAAGAGACAAAAAGATGTTTAAAACGTAGAATTGACGCATCAATTGTGTAATTACTTGATCAGGGCTTTGGCACGAGAAATGCTCTTGGAAGTTCCTCTGAAATTTTTCTTAAACTTAATTACTACTTCAGTCTAAATTATTTCTTAATGACTTCTTTGAACATATATTTGACCTGACTATTTTTTAAAAGGATGCATCACGCTCAGTGCCACGTTTATCGTGGCTGTCACTGCTCCAGGTGGGGCACACAATGAGAGTCCTGATCTCTGTCTGCACATTACATGGGGAGCAAATGCTTTATGGTTGGGAAAGGTGTTTTCTTTGGCTGGGAAAGGTGCTCCGCTTCAACACACCAAACTTCCAGTTGGGAGCCTGGCTAGAGTTCAGAGAGAGGCTCTTCTAAGGTCTGGTGATGGAGATGTGACAAAACAGGGTTGAACAAAGGCTGAAAATGGTGTTTTCTTTCCCTAGGGATCTTTCCAACAACAAGATCAGTGGTTTAGATGTTCAGCTATTCAGAAGCCTGACTTCGCTGGCAAAGCTGTGAGTACCCCTTGCCCCCCAGTGCTGCAGCCCCTCTGCAGGGCTGAGCTGGGCCCTGCCCATGTGCTGGTGTTTTTCACAGGTTAATTTGTTGGTGTTTGGCCTCATCTGCTGAGCCCCAGATAGTGGTGTCCACAGCTCCCTCCTCAAGGCCTTCAGCTGCTCAGTGCAGTGATTTGCTAATTGGCATTGAGGGTTGGGCAGGATTTTGACCCTCTGTGCTGCCAGATGGAGAGGAGATCGAGGCCAGAGAATGAGAATTGTCACAAGATGTGTGTTAGAGCATGGAAAATCACAGAATCCCAGAATGGGTTGGGCTGGGAGGGACCTTAAAGCCCATCCAGTGCCACCCTCTGCCATGGGCAGGGACACCTTCCACTAGCCCAGGTTGCTCCAAGCCCTGTCCGACCTGGCCTTGGACACTTCCAGGGATGGGGCAGCCACAGCTTCTCTGGGAAAACTCCACCAGGGCCTCTCCACCCTCCCAGGAAATGGTGACAAAGCTGCAGTGACCAGGAGGTGACTACAGACGTGATGAAGTTTCCTTTTCCCTCTTTTACAGAGATATAAGCCACAACCAGATTTCTACATTAGAAGATGGAATATTTGATAATTTATTTAATTTAAGTGAAATGTAAGTTCATTCGCTTTGTTTCCCAGTTCTTTTATTTAAGTCTTTTCTTGGAACAGCTCTTGCCTTCCTGGTGGGGTGGGATCTCTCAGGGAGATCTTGGGCATGTACCCAGCCAAGCTGCTGCCTTTTGGGGTGTATCCAGTCTCTTAGTCTGTGTCCTACTCCTGGGTCCTGTTGTTGTCCTTCAAGCCTGACCTCTTCCTAGATTTGCTTCTGTCTCCTGGATACCTCCAACCTCTGCCACTGCCTTTTGTCTTTCCTGCTTCTCTCCCACAGCAGCTCTGCTGAGGTTCTTGTCTCTGACCATGCTCTGGGTCACACTTACTGTCCTGTCTGTGTGGTCACACCTTGGGACCGGGGATCTGATGATTCTGCAACATGGTAGGTCCTGCCTGAGGTGTCCAAGGTACTTGAAGGTGGTGTCCCTCAGTGAGTCAATTATTTTAGGTTCTGTTTTTTAATTGAAGTAATGAAAACTTTTGTTGTTATGTGGAGGGAGGCAAGGGGAAGCCACACATTTCCAGACAGATCCATGAAGTCACAGCAGTAGTGGCAGTTCTGTGTCTGAAGGAGCCAAAGGATTAACCCCTTGCAAACTCTCTTGGCAAGCAAGACAAAAGCTCAGACCCACCTTCTCCCCAAGGAGGGGACACGAAGGGCATTCTCAGCTCTGCAGTTTTGCTCTCAGGTGGCTCTAAAAGACCCAAAGGCCCCAGGCTGGGTCCCAGGGAGCCTGTCTCTGCTGGGGCTGGTGGCAAAGTGGTGCTTTCAGCCCCAGAGTCGTGGTTCAGCTCAGCCCTGTCAGCTCCACACACAGCTTCCAGCTCCGTCCTGCTCGCAGCTGAGTGCCAAAGGCTGTAATTTGGATCAAGCTTAGCTGCAATTAAAGTTTCCATCTTTTCATTAAACTGCCACATGGAAAGATTATCATTGACTTTGCATTTCTTTTTTTGACAGATCAATTTTATTCTCTTAGCTATTTTTTAATGGAGCTGTAAATAGTCTCCCAGAGCAGGAGAGGCTCCCTCACATCCAGGGGCTGTTGGATGTCAGATTATTTTAGATATAAGATTGTGTCTGTCATTTGCTTCTAATTGCGACAATTATTTGTAGAGTTAAAAAAGTACTTGGAGTACTTGCTTAATTCTAGCCTCTAGAAAAATCACGTTAATTATTGCTTGATTCCCTATTCATTAACTCCCCTCCCAGTTATTCCAAAGCCTTTCAGTGGAGTGGCACAGATGGGAACAGGGAGGGCTCGGCACACTGCTGTAATTAATGCTTAGCACATGTCACACTAATCCCCAACTATTTCTGATCTCCCTCTGACAGAAACTTAAGTTGGAATCCATTTGTTTGTGACTGCAAACTGTCCTGGTTGCCCCGCTGGTTGGAAGACAGAAAAGTGAGAGTTCTTGAGGCGTCAGACACGAGATGTGCCCACCCCCCCGAGGTGGCAAACCTGTCCCTCTTCGACGTCCCGTTCCCCAATGCCACCTGTGGTAAGGAAACGCTGGGGGTGGAGATGGTTAAACCAGGGGCAGCGATGGGCCCCGGGGCAGCTGGGCTCACAGTGGCTTCTTTAGACCTCAAGTCACCAGTTGTAATGTAATTAAGCAAATACTGGGCACACAGGCTGTACCCTGGTGCCTCAGGGGTCCAGTCAGTCACATCAGGGCTGGGATTAACGCTGATTACACACCAGGCATCAGGCAGCCAACACAGCACACTGGCTCAGTGACCTCCAGCCTCAGGCTTTCATTCTCTCAAGGTTTCAACAGTGTGACTTTAAGCAGTGAAATGGCATGGGAGCTGATGGGACCTGAGCACGTGCTGGGTCTTTGCAGGTAACAGGAGTGTTGAATGAGCACTGCCCCGATCCACAGCTCATCACTTGCCCCTGGGGCATTCTTCTGACAGCTTGGCCAGCAGAAACATCAGGCAGTGGTTAACTGGAGGTGGAAGGGGGGAGCCCAAGGAAAACTAATGGTGCCTGGATGCTCAACTATCCCTGAGTGAGGGAGAGGGAAGGAGAGTGCTCTCCACGGCAGGGATCAGGCATCTCCTTTAATTCATGACAGGAGGATGCAGGGCTGAGGGACCTGGAGCTGTGTGACAGGAGAATACAGGTTGAGGGATCAGGAGCTGGTGGGAGCCAGTTGAGCTGCCTGGTAAAGCACAGGCCTCCCCAGGAGCAAAATCTGGATTGTAGTTTCTCCTCTTTCCCCAGCAAAGCCACTCCAGCTTGCAGCATCTTGCAGGAATTATCAAAGGGAAAAACACTGGCACTGTTACTGCCCTTGATAATTAGTTATTCCCTCTTCAACTACTTTAAGCCAGGGTGGAAACAATAATGTGAGGCTGTCTTCTGGGTAATTCAGTGTAATGGGAGTAGGCTGGGACAGCCTGCCAGCTACTGACAGTTGTTACTGACCGGCAGGGAGTGAAGAATGACCAGGCTGGTGGTAAAAACAGAGTAGTTCCCATGCCGTGGTCCTCCTTGTGGGACTGCTCTTAGGAGAAGTGGCTCAGCATTCACAGGGAGGCTGTGGAGGAAGCTGGACAGTTGGATGGATTCGATCTGGGAAGATCACACGGAGCTGTTGAGATGTTTGGGGGAGATGTTGTAGCAACCAGCAGGAAGAGCGGAGCCAACGTGGCCGAGCTGCGTGGGCAGAGGCCGAGGGAGAGGCCCTGCCTGGGTGTTTGTGGCAGGGAAATGTCCCACCCCGTGCAAGCCAGAGAGGGGGAATTAAACTCAAGGGAATGGGCTGTCCCTCAGGGATTGGGGCTGTTGTGGCTGCCATTGCTCTCTGTGCTGTGTGTGCATGTGTGTGTTGGGGCACGTGTTGTTTCCGTGCATCCTCCCAGTGTTTATCCTTCCACAGCTCTGGGTGCAGGCTGTGCCTGCCATTGCCCTCATCTCTAGCACCACATTTTGCCTGCGGGTAGGTGGGAAGCTCTTGGCTCTCCCCAGGGAGGGAGGTGGCTGCAGGGTCTGCCCAATTCCAGCATGGTCCTGGTGGAGAATCCATCAGTGTCTCCCCAAAGTCTCCGATGTGCCACTGCCCAAGGGTGTTTGATTATGGACTTGTTACTGGCTGTCCCAGGCAGCACTTGGTGAAACAGGCTGCACCAGACCTGGGTACCACCAAGGGACAACCTTTTGTCATGGTCTCACTTGGTGGCGAGTCCTTGGGGCTCCTCTGAGTGTCAGACACAGCGGCTCCGTGTCCCATGGGACTGTCAGGCTCTCCAAAGCCTCGTTTTATTTACTGAGTGTAGCTGCTCCATAAATCTGTGTGACTGGCTTGTTATTTCTGTCATCATTAATTAGCATAAAGAGTTTGGAAACTGTTGCTGAGGGATTAAAGACTTCCCAGGCAAATCTCAGTAAGGAAATGCTCGGAGTAGGAGCTGCACAGGAGAATTCCATGCCCGGGAACGTAGGGTGGTGTCTCTTGGAGGGTCTCACCAAACCATGGCTTCACAGTGTCAGTTTGCAAGAGGATCTTCTGTTCTGTCCCACAGGAGCTCAGTACATCACGTGTCTGACAAGCAACCACACGGAAGGGGCTGAACTTGTCGTCCTCTTCACGTCTGTCCACGCCAGGAACCTCAGCGAGGAGACCTGCAGTGCCCTGTGCTACGCCCAAGACCAGGAGTACGGAGGTTTCAGCTCCCTGGGGCAGTGTCTGTGTGGAACTGCCCATGAAACAAACTCTTCCTCTGGCTGTTTGCCATTTTGCACTGAGCATTTGTCCGGGCAGGGCTGTGGTGGCCCGTCACTCGTCCCCTCGCCCTTCCAGGCACAGCTGCCTGTGTCTTTCACAGGACTCCAGCCCCGGTACAGCCTACACCAGGCTGTGCTCTTCAATGTCAGTATTCCCATCGCTGTCAGCACTTTACTGTGGGAATTTGGGGACCAGACAGAGGTTCTCAACACCACTGGAAATGCAGCTGTGCACACGTATGCCTTACCCGGGCGGTACAATGTCACTGCCACCATCCTGGTGGGCACCAAGGTCTTGTACGAGCAGGCAGAAGTTGAGGTGGTGGCTTCACCCCAACAGCTGGAGCTGCAGTGTCCTTCCTTGGTCAAGACGAATGAGAGTCTGGACATCCAGATCCGCAACAGAGGCGGCACCGGCCTCGTGGTGCTGTACGGGATCACACAGGCTGGAGAGCTGGGCAGGGGTAAGCAGGGCTGGCTGGGGGGTGCTGGGCAAGGGAGGAGTGGCACTGCATCCCGGGCCTTCCCTTTGCCTCCCTCCCCAGTGAGGGATGGGAGGGGATGACTCCTTTGGGGCTCCCCTGGCTGGGCAGGCAGTGGTCTGCACTTCAGCAGTGGACGGGCTTCATTGGCTTCAGGGCCAGGGTGTTCCTGGAGCCTCTCTTTCCAGACTGGCTTAGGACATGTGGCCCAGAGAAAGGACACCACGTTTGTGTTCTTTATGCAGCAGTTCACCCCATGTGCCCCCCCGATGGCTTGGTGTTCCCGGGCAATAACCACTGCTACCAGCTGGTGGTGGAGAAGGCGGAGTGGCTGGAGGCCCAGCGGCACTGCCAGGAGCACGACAATGGAGAGCTGGCTTTTGTCAGCAGCCCCGAGATCCAGAGCTTCTTGGTTGCTCGTGTCATCAGGTGAGTGAGGAGGGTAGGGGTCAGGATCACCTAGGGACAGGTTTGGCGTTCCAGGGGTCACATCTGCACAGGGGTCTGGAGGGAGGGTCCTGCCGTGGTCTCGACTGAGTGTGGGAAGATGGTGAGAGTGAGGCTGCTGAACAAAGAGGAGGAGCCCTTTGAGCAGAGCAGAGCTTGAACCCTTGCTGGCCTTGGCTACTTTCCTTAAAGGCTGTGGAGGGAAGAAGAGGAATGGGGACAGAACGATTGGAAGTCACAATAGGTAACTGAGGATTGGTGGGCACTTGTACCTTTTGTTTGTGCCTGTGGGTGCCTCTGAAATGGTGCAGAGAGGTGCAGGGCCAGGAGTACACAGGGCTGGGCTGAGCACACCTTCCACTTGGGAGTGGCTGTACACTGAAAGAGAGTAGGTTTGGATTGGATATTAGGAAGAAATTCTTCCCTATGAGGATGGGGAGGCCCTGGCACAGGTTGCCCAGAGAAGCTGTGGCTGCCCCATCCCTGGAAGTGTCCAAGGCCAGGTTGGAGCAACCTGGGCTAGTGGGAGGTGTCCTTGCCCATTGCAGGGGGTGGAACTCGATGGTCTTGAAGGTCCCTCCCAAACCAAACTCTTCTGTGATTCCATGATTCTGTGAGTGCAGCAAAATCTACAGGCTCAGGCTGGACGGTGGAGAGGTCCAGGTGCTTGTGTCCCGAGGCTGACACGAGGGTGAGGATGACAGGAGGGCGAGGGTGACACGAGGGTGACATGAGGGTGAGTGTGACCAGCTCCCTCCCTCAGCAGAACTGCAGCTGGATTGTCCCACGTTGACACTGTGGCATCGAGAGCTGCTGTAGCAAAGCCCAGGGCAGTGCTGCAGTCCTGCCTCCCAGACAGGATCCTGCACCTTTCCAGACACAGCTGCAGCCTGAAGCCCAGACCCTTTTTTCCTTTTGTTTCTCATCCTGTTGACTCCTCTCCGAGTTTCAGGCTCCAGCAGCATCTGTTCCACCTCAGGACTGGGCTTTATAAACAGAGAGCACTGCAAGTGTCAGCCTTTGATTAAATCCGCCCCTCTGAGTGCCCTTTCCCCAGCCAGCCCTTTTGGGGGGGAGGGAGGACAACCAGGAGAGCTCTCAGGGCCTGACAGCCCTTGTCAGCACTCCCAGCTGCAGATGTGGGAGATGGGCTCTTCAAAAACACATCCCAGACAGCACAAGGAAGGGAACAGCTGCGTGTGACGTAGGCTTTGAACGGTCCTGCTCGAGGGCTGACAGCCCCTTCTTCCCAAACTTGTGTCCGAGCCCTGTTCCCTTCACACGGGGCTTTATCCTGAGATTGCAAACATGTGTTCCCTACTCTGGGGCAGAGGAGTCTGTCCCTCTCCCGGGGTTAGGAGCTGGTCACTGGGTGCTCTGGTGTGTCAGGCGTTGCGTGCGGGGCTGACGGTGCATGGAAACCACGAGGGCTCTGAGCCGCCCAGGCTGTTCCCCAGCTGCTGCCCCACGCTGGTCTCCCCCAGCCCCCTTTATTGCCTGTGTTTATTTTATTAATCCATTCAGATAAACATGCAGGAGGCAGTTCCAGAAGGCAGTTTCCCTGATGATAAAAGGCAAAGTGGCCGAGCTGCAGGTTTTTGGAACATGCAGCTTCCATAGCTTGTGATGGGAAAATGGTAGAAGCAGGAAGCTGTTTTCCATCAGAGCAGCAGCACCACTGTCCTCTCCTTCTCTCCTGATGTGGGATGGCCTCCCCAGGAGCAGCATGTGCTGAGTTAGTCTCTCCCTGCCTCCAGAAGCAGAGGGTGGAACCTTCCGGGGGAACCCAATTTCCCCTCTGGGTAGCACAGGGAGCCCCTCTCCCATTCCAAGCCTCTCCAGGCTTGTTCTGCTCCTTCTGCCCCAGCAGGGTAGCTCGGTCCTTCCTCAGAGGCAGAGGGATTCTCACATCCTGCTTCAAAAAAGTGTGTTCAGAGTCCTCCTGTTCCTCCCTGCAAGGGAACGGGCCAGGCAGTGGGGCAGGATGGAAGCCAGCCAGCAGCTTCTTTTTTAGTTTCTCCCTTTTTTCTTTCCTTTTTTTTTTTTTCTTTTTGCAGTTAGGTCATAGCTGGAATTAGAAAAGGAAAATCTCCACTGAGTTTTCCTGATGGCAGCACGCAAGCAGTTTCCTACCCTGCTCTCCCTAATCCCCTGCCAGTGGTTTGGGAGCAGAACACAGCCCTTATTTACTTTTAAATCATATTTGCAGTGAAAACTACTGATTCACAGAACAGTTATTTTTGTCATCGTTTTTCAGCATGACCTCATGAATCATTTCATCTGGCGTGGGCCTGGGGGTGGAGAGACACCACTTATCTCCCCAGCCTGCTTTGCAGAACCGTGGTACCACCCCAGGAGCACACTGGGGCAGGCAAGGTCATGGCAGGATTGATTGCAACTGCAGGAGGGAGTATGGAGAAGAAGCTGAGGGGTTGGAAGGGTGCAGGATGTTAATATGGAGAAGTTAATATGGAACAAGTGCCTCACTTTCTGCTGGGTGCGATTAGAAACAGTTGTCCAGGCTGTGGCTATGAAAGACCGCTCAGCACTTCCCACCAGAATCTCTGCTGGGATTCAGCCAGTTTCCAAATGAGGAAGGGACATTTCATATTCCTAAAACAAACCTGGCAGTTCTGTGTGTATGTGGGGTTCAGCTGCCTGCAGTGCTTTGCCTCTGCTTATCCACCCTGGCTGCTCCCTGGTGGCTGAGGAGCCAGTTGGCTCCAGGAGCTGCATCCAAGAGAACAGGAGCTTGCCAGACCTGGCACCACTGAGCTTTGATCCTGCCCTGGTGCCCATTGCACTTGCAGTGGAGAATTGGCAAATCCCCCAGGTCTGCACAAATGAAGCACAAGTTTTCTGAAGGATTCAGCTTTCTCAGACAGTTCTGTTTGACCATAACATTCCTCTTAGGTCAGGACTCAAAACAGGCTCAGAAGAGTCTGTGAGGGTCATTTAAGCTGCAGTGTGGGCAGGTCATGGTAACAGAGTGCTCTGTTCCGAGGGGAGTGAGGTTCAAGTCAACCTGCTCCTTACAGAATCATAGAATCATAAAATCATAGAATGATTTGTGTTGGAAGAACCTTAAAGCTCATCAAGTCCCACCCCCTGCCACAGGCAGGGACGCCTTCCACTAGGCCAGGTTGCTCCAAACCCTGTCTAACCTGGCCTTGGACACTTCCAGCTTCTCTGGGCAACCTGTGCCAGGGCCTCCCCACCCTCAGCAGGCTGGTGGGACAGAGGTGTGAGGGGCTGTTGGAGAGCAGT